AAGATGCTTCAGACAAAATATGAAACAAATCCTTCATTCCTACAGAAGAAGAAGGATATTAAAGAATTTGCTATATTTCCCTTATTGGGCCCCGCCCCTCAGCCCCCAGGAAGGCTAGACCCACTGTTTATACAAAATTGAGTCCCCTTGGCCTAAGGATGCCCCACACCAAATATGGAACAAATCCTTTCATTGCTACAGAAGAAGAAGGATTTTAAAGAATAATTTGCTATGTTTCCCCTATTGAGCCCCGCCCCTCAGCCCCCTGGCAGGCCAGACCCACGGTTTATACAAAATTGGTTCCCCTTACCCCAAGGATGGTTCTGACCAAATATGGAACAAATCCTTTCATTCCTACAGAAGAAGAAGGATTTTAAAGAATTTGCTATATTCCCCTTATTGGGCCCCGCCCCTCAGCCCCCAGGAAGGCCAGACCCACTGTTTATACAAAATTGAGTCCCCTTGGCCTAAGGATGCTCCACACCAAATATGGAACAAATCCTTTCATTGCTACAGAAGAAGAAGGATTTTAAAGAATAATTTGCTATGTTTCCCCTATTGAGCCCCGCCCCTCAGCCCCCTGGCAGGCCAGACCCACGGTTTATACAAAATTGGTTCCCCTTACCCCAAGGATGGTTCTGACCAAATATGGAACAAATCCTTTCATTCCTACAGAAGAAGAAGGATTTTAAAGAATTTGCTATATTCCCCTTATAGGGCCCCGCCCCTCAGCCTCATTTATACCAAATTGAGTCCCCCTCGCCCAAGGATGCTCCAGACTAAATTAGGATAAAATCCCTTAATCCCTACGATAGAAGAAGGATTTAAAAGGTTTTACCTCTATTTCCCATATTGGGCCCCACCCCTTTGCCCCCAGGGGGGCCAGACCCACCATTTATACAAAATTGAGTCCACTTGGCCTAAGGATGCTCCAGACCAAATTTAGTCAAAATCTGCTTGGCTGTTTAGGACAAGTAGCGTTTTAAAGGAAAAGTTGACGGACAGACGGACAGACGGACGACGGACGACAGACGATGCGGTGTGGCATAAGCTCACCATGGTTCTTCGGACCAGGTGAGCTAATAACACTAGTACTTTTTCTGATCAAAATATTTCAGTTTTATCAATGGCAAGACAAGCGGGGGGTACAACTCTGTCTGAAAGATTTGGAAAATAGGGGTACAACTCTGTCTGAAAGATTTGGAAAACAAACTACAGTTACATTTATTTAAAGACTTTTTAAATTCCTTGTTACTTTTGAACACCTGACATTCAATAACAATTCTGAAAACTCACCATTTTGCTGGAATGGCATGTGCATATCCATGATGCACAAGTAGACACCACCCAATGACACGGCAAATATTAATGATGTACAAGTAGACACCACCCAATGACCCGGCAAATATTAATGATGTACAAGTAGACACCACCCAATGACCCGGCAAATATTAATGGCGTACAAGTAGACACCACCCAATGACACGGCAAATGTTAATGATGTACAAGTAGACACCACCGAATGACACGGCAAATATTAATGATGCACAAGTAGACACCAACCAATGACACAGCAAATATTAATGATGTACAGGTAGACACCACCCAATGACACGGCAAATATTAATGACGCACAAGTAGACACCACCCAATGACACGGCGAATATTAATGATGTTCAAGAAGACACCGCACCTAATGACACAGCAAATATTAATGATGTACAGGTAGACACCACCCAATGACACGGCAAATATTAATGATGCTCAAGTAGACACCACCCAATGACACAGCAAATGTTAATGAAGTACAAGTAGACACCACCCAATGACACGGCGAATATTAATGATGTTCAAGAAGACACCGCACCTAATGACACAGCAAATATTAATGATGTACAGGTAGACACCACCCAATGACACGGCAAATATTAATGACGCACAAGTAGACACCACCCAATGACACGGCAAATGTTAATGATGCACAAGTAGACACCACCCAACGACAAGGCAAATATTAATGATGTTCAAGTAGACACCTCCAAATGACACAGCAAATGTTAATGATGTACAAGTACACACCACCCAATGACACGGCAAATATTAATGGGGTACAAGTAGACACCACCCAATGACACGGCGAATATTAATGATGTACAAGTAGACACCGCACCTAATGACACAGCAAATATTAATGATGTACAAGTAGACACCACCCAATGACCCGGCAAATATTAATGATGCACAAGTAGACACCACCCAACGACAAGGCAAATATTAATGATGTTCAAGTAGACACCACGCAATGACACGGCAAATATTAATGGTGTACAAGTAGACCCCACCCAATGACACGGCAAATATTAATGGGGTACAAGTAGACACCACCCAATGACACGGCAAATGTTAATGATGCACAAGTAGACACCACCCAATGATACGGCGAATATTAATGATGTTCAAGTAGACACCGCACCTAATGACACAGCAAATATTAATGATGTACAGGTAGACACCACCCAATGACACGGCAAATATTAATGGGGTACAAGTAGACACCACCCAATGACACGGCAAATGTTAATGATGTACAAGTAGACACCACACAATGAAACGGCAAATATTAATGATGCACAAGTAGACACCAACCAATGACACAGCAAATATTAATGATGTACAGGTAGACACCACCCAATGACACGGCAAATATTAATGGTGTACAAGTCGACACCACCCAATGACACGGCAAATATTAATGACGCACAAGTAGACACCACCCAATGACACGGCAAATGTTAATGATGTACAAGTAGACACCACCCAATGACACAGCAAATATTAATGATGTTCAAGTAGACACCACCCAATGACACGGCGAATATTAATGATGTTCAAGTAGACACCGCACCTAATGACACAGCAAATATTAATGATGTACAAGTATGCTTTGTTTGCACCGCTTTGTTATGATTGTAGTTAGTACAAATTATTTCTTTGATAATTTAAAAGTTCAATGCTCAATCTAATCAAGTTTTTTACTCTATTTCCTCTTTAAATAAACACAAATGAGTCCATAGCTAAAAGCTTAAGTGCACAACTCTATCAGACTACATCATATTATTAATCAAATCGTTTACAAACCTGACAGCATATTGTTATTAAAACAATGTTATGTTATTAGCAACAATCTAAAGAGGTACATTCCCTTGCCACTAAAACTCTTAACAAATAACGATGAGTGTACATGTATCATACATGTATGTGTAAAGCATCTCTATCGAGTGTTACATTGTTAACATATATCAAAACACAACCTCACTGTACAAGCTCATAGAACAGGCAGAAGAAAAAAAACTTGCACACAAAAAAATGTTCATACCAGGAAAATTTGAAATTATCAACTGTCATGCAAAACAAATCATTTGAGTCATTTTTGCCTCCGACTGACAATTCTACCACCATCCAAAACCATCTGTGTGCAACTGATATTACAGTCTGCAAGCCCAGGTAACCTGAGCAGCTAGTACACCTATACTAGGGCCTGTTAATTTATTCAGCACAAGCAGTGTTTTTTTATAGTATTTAGGGGTATTTTATATATACAGATCGTTATTAATAATGATTAAATGTTAGACTCCTGTCGTAACTATAACCTACGACATCTCAACCTATGAAAATGAATTTGAATGTGCCATTTTCTACATATTCTTTTCATGAAATCCATTACTTTCTTATGCACCATTGTATAAAATGCGATAAACATCAGAAGAAAGACATGACGTACAGGATATGGAAAGTAATACTACGCTCGGATATTACCTGGTGTTATCACCAGTCTCTTTCAGGCAAGAAGTGATTAATCTAATAGTTAACTTTTTATTGACATCATTTGCCGTGGTCAAAATTTAATAGCCAGTGTTTAGCACATACTCATTAAATAGTCCAATATTACTCACTTGGTGGCTTATATTATTATGATAACATAGTATTTTATCTACCGGATTTGGATTGTTGCTATCCTGTGTTACCACAAGCATAGTAGCTCAAATAGTCTTAACGGGCAATTTTACTTAGAACCAATATTCACTTTAGCAGTTTGGGAAGTTAAATTATTGTAAAAGCAGACCGTGATATTCTAATTTAATAGAGTACTAAGTAATTTAGTGTTAATTTCCAAAACATATAGTTAATCTGTTTACTTGTTACAATTGAATTACTCTGATTATTTAGGGTGGACCAATCGCAAGACTTACATTATTTCGTAATTTATTGAAGTTAGTGAAGAATGTAACATATTAGGGTGCAATTGCGTGCAAGATAAAGCTTGTGATTGCTGTAAATTTGAATGATTTGTATTGTAAATATTTATTCTGTTTCTTTGTCATTTATTTCTACCAATTAGTTTGGTCGAGTTTACTCCGACTATTACTGACACTGAGAAGACCCCTCTAGAAGGATTCCTGAGCTTGCCCACAGTGACGTTTGTATGTGGCAGATTTCAAGTAGTCTGTGACTAATATTTCGCTATACTGGCAAAGCGGACCTTGATAACCGTCAGCGGAAATCCATTACAATCTGTAAAAGATGTGCATCGATTAGGTTGCCTTATAAGTGTCAGCTGTAGGGAATTCCCTTTAGCTCAGCAGTAGAGCATCCAAGAGTCGCGGGTTCGAGCCCCAGCGACGGCACTATCTTTATCACTATTCCTCGTCCTACTATAAGCTATTATTTCTTTTGAAGACGTTTTCTGAGACAACACATTTCTTACAGATCACATTTTTTAGAGATTAAAAACATGAATCTGTAGCATTGGATGAATTGCTTAGAATATGCTTCCATAAATAGAAACAGTCAAGTCTAACAGCGTTACTAGATCAATACAACCACATGCCATTGTCAATGGACGAATGAAAACGAAAATAGGGAAAGTGCAGGGTGGTTTCTGTCAAAGGCCATATGATCAAGTTTTTTGTGATATAATTAGAAAACACCGGAGTCCTTACCTTACCCTTCCAAACCAAAGTCTCGGATAGCTATTTATGTGTAATAAAAAGTCGTATTTCTCTATTTATTCCGTGTATCACTGTAAACAAAACAGCTAGCCTACTCACCTGTTATTTTAGAACTGAGTCAACAGGAAGTGACGGGTTTACGAATGACAGAGACCGGAAAAAGAAATATTCAAGTTACCTCCCTTATTGAATGGTAGCACTACACTTTTTTTTCTCTAAATATTTTGTTCGATTTACAAATTAATCAAATAAAACTTTTTTCTATGTGAAAATAATTATATACTTCAGCACAACACAAGCGCACTTTTCTTTGCAAATTTTGATTTTCACTCATTTTAGCCGCGTAACCTTTATCTAGTGTATTGGACAACGCCCCCAGCAAACGCAGGTTCAAGTGTCCATGTACACTTCATACATGTTATATTATGTATGTATGGTATACACTTTGTATTACCCCCACTTCCAACCCACCCATCCCTCACTATCAGCAAATGCATATAAATACGGATGTAAACCACATGTTACACTATGTCTGAATTGCTACCCCCTATCCCCACTCACAGCAACATTGGAGTGTATCTCAAACTATTCATTATCTTATATGCCGATGATACTGTCCTGTTTTCAGAAACCCCAGATGGTTTACAGTTAGCTTTAAATGAATTTGAACAATACTGTAATACTTGGAAGTTAACTATCAATTCAGGAAAAACTAAAATTGTCATCTTTTCAAAAAGAAAATGTGCAAGAACTCCCCATTTTACATTATGTAACGTAGAATTAGAAATACTGGAAGGGTATACCTATTTAGGATTATTCTTTAATTTTAGTTGTAGCTTCTTTTAAGCAAGGAAAAAAATTGTTGAACAAGCACAGAAATCAGTGTTTGCTGTCTATAAGAAATTGAGAAACATATCTTTACCAGTTGATCTACAATTGAAGATATTTGATTCATTAATTATGCCAGTTCTTCTGTATTCATCAGAAATATGGGGTTTTGAAAACACAAATATTATAGAAAAAATCCATCTTCAATTTTGTAAATATATACTAAATGTAAGAAAAAGTACACCAAATTTCATTGTTTATGGTGAGCTTGGAAGATACCCACTAGACATCGAAATTAAATGTAGAATAATAATATTCTGGCATAAGTTGATTACCTCTAGTAAGTTATCAAGTTTATGTATACATTACATGAAAATGGAACTATGTTATTTAAATGGCTCGCATATGTTAAAGATATTTTTTCTCAAACTGGCCTGAACTATGTGTGGTACAATCAATCTACATGTTCTTTTTCAAAAGACGAAATTAAGAGGCTTGTGAAAAGTAGACTGAAGGATCAATTTATACAGAAATGGTTTGATAATATTCTTAACTCCTCTAGAGGACAAACATATTCAATATTAAAGACAAAGTTTGAACAAGAAAAATATTTAATTAAACTTAATACAAATGATAGGAAAATAATGTGTAAATTCCGTTCTTGCAATATGCATTTACCCATAGAAAAAGGAAGATGGTTAGGTATTCCTCGTCAAGAAAGAACCTGTACATTATGTAATTTGTACATTGGAGATGAATTTCATTACTTATTTATATGTGAAAGTGTTTTAGTTAAATGTCTAAGAGAGAAATATATACCAAAATATTATTTCACTTATCCAAGTCAATTAAAAATGCAAGGATTGTTTAATATATTTAATGTAAAAATTTACACAAAACTTTGTAAATTCATAGAAAAGCTTGAAAAAATATTAACTTAATTTCTGTACTATTTGTGTACTTCTATATGTATCTATGCTATGTACAATGTTGTAATTGTGTACATCACACGCCATGTATCATACTTACTATATGTATGTGACCTCTTGTTACACACGTAAGTGTGTCGGAGTGAATAAATAAAACTTAGAACTTAGAAACTTAGCAACCGCATGTTAAAGTATCCACGTAAGCTTTATATATTTTACTTGATATGGTTTGGCCTTGATATACGACCTATCCACACCATCCCCGAGCTTTCATCACGTGTAGTTAGCGACAACATCACTTAATGAAATATACTTGTACCTGATAAAATGTACTATGTTAAGTGAAATTTATTTCGTTAGCAGTGTACAGTACTATATAATGAATGGTTTGCTTTTCCTACATAGTAACACGGAATTAGATTAGTCCGTGATAGTAATCATTGGCTTATACAACTTTAGTTATGTCAGAGACGTATACGTCTCTGGTTATGTTTAACTGGGGTTTGTTTTGGGGTTGTTGTTTTTTTTGTAATATTATTATTATTCAATATTATTGCATTGCATTGTACCGTTAAATTGTCATACTATGTGACCCATCCCCGTCAACTCATTCGTGCACGCAGGGACAGTATATAGAGGGGATTGGCAACTCTGCCCCAGTCAAGATTCTATAGCACGTCGCTTTTGTGTTTGTTCACCAAACCGCGAAGTCATCGAGAGCCCCTCTCGATCAGCCCGCGCTTGCGCACTAGCGTTAAAATCATGTCACCAATCTCGCCGAGATGGGAGTGTTTTGATAACGGTTAGCCCTGATTGGGACTGTGTATTAGTAGGTCTTCTTTTTATTCCAGGGATAGGGCTATCGTTGCCACTATTTCTAGCCTTT